CCGGTAACCGACAATCCATTTCACTATTCTACCTTGAAAGTCACGCTGAACCACAATTATGAGATAGAGGGGAGTGGTAACCACAGCGACGAAAAATGTGCTAACTGAATAAATAAATAAATAAATTAGAATTCTCCAGAACATATATTAGGAGCAAACCACTTGCATCTCTTTAGAGATACTTGATAAAATTAAAAAAATAATCTGAAATATTATTGGTCCTGACCTGGCATCTCTTCTTCAGTCACTTTCTCACTGGCGTAACGTAGCTTCAATGTGTCTTTTCTATAACTATTTTCATGTTAATTGTTTTCATGAATTTTCCAATATGGTACGAAGACTTTATGAATTTAAGCGCAGTACTAGATTGGCGTCTAGGTCCCCTGTTTACTGTTGAAATAGCTAAATGCAACCACCACTTCTACTCCAGCAGTTTCTTTTCTCCTCCCCTCAATCCTCCCCATTCTCAGTTGACTCTTTCTTTTTCAGTTACTCTCCCTGTAAGCACTGCGTACTACTGGCATTACTACCTTACTTGGGGTGAAATGATTATATATATATATATATGAGAGAGAGAGAAACTCACAAAGCATATAACGTGTTTAGCATTTTGTTAAATTACCACTCCACCTCATTTTTTTCTTATGCAATGACATTGTCTAGTGTGTAAAATATATATCCATTAACTTCCGCTCCTGTTTAACGTCTGGGCTTCCATTGACTGCCAATCTACGCCTCAGGACCCATTCATAAAAAATAATTTCTTAATTTTTGCTTCTTCGCTTAGTTTAAATTTAACGTAGGTGATATTTGATTGGTTGATATGAGTAAAGCCTACAGACCTTATAACCACCCTTTTCTCGGTTATATTTTGCTTTTAAATCTAAATAAATCGTTCACTCGCCAGTAATTTACATTTGCCTGATGAGATGCATTGATACGCAGCGAAACAAGACTGCAATTGTGTAGCGATTTTAACATGTTTTCGATGTAATATCCTAAAATTTTATATTATATATATATAATATATATATATATATATAAATATTGCACACTGTGATGAGAGAGGCAAGGTAACGCACAGCTTCTATATATCGTCGTCAGTCTAGGAGAAGGATAACTGAATTCAGATCACCTGCTTCCTTGTAGGTCTTGCTTTAATTTTTGAAATGAACGACAAGCTAAACTCAACATTTCCGGTGCAAAACGAACCGACAAGCTATTGCACTATTCTGCCTTGAATGTCACCCTGAACCACAATTATGAGATGGAGGGGAATGGTGACCCCAGCGGTGGTGCAAAGTGCGCTAACTGAATAAATAAATGAAGAATGAAATGAAGAGAACATTCCTTTTCAAGGCTACAAACAAATTATTGTAAATTTTGACTAATCTACTCATGTTGATAATATTTTTGTCTGTTTAGTAAAGCTTTATTCATCACTATAATAATGTTAGTAATACAGTAAAGATAACGGAATCACTTGATTGAGGAGATGTAACTGAACTGAAATATATCTCCTCAAAGTTTTCTAATTTATAGGCTCCCATATATTTTTAGTTTCTTTTTTAAGCACTGAATTTCCCATATGTTAAGATGCTTCAAGTGATAAAACACACCCTATATAAATATATATATATATATATATATATATATATATATATATATTATGCCTTTAAATTCTTTGAGAAACATAGGGCTGCAAGATATCATTGTGGTTTCTATAACAAGCCAGTTTTAACAGAGTAGTTTCCGGCCCAGTCTATAGTACTTTGAATTGCTCACTGGTAAGGCTTGCCAGTGTGTTCGTGCAGTATGCTTCTTTGGAGTAATGTCCATCGCAGATAATGGCCATAGGACAACTAATTGACAGACGAGACAATAGTGTCTGGGTGTGATAAAAATCTGATGCAATGATGGATGACGCAATATTTTACAAGACCAAAAAAATTTCATCATACATCCCGAAAATAGATTCATATTATTGCAAATGATCTCATCTGAGGAAAAAATAGAAATCGATTACACACTGTCAATTCAGTGGGTCTAAAACTGACTGTATGCTGAAAGAAAGGTAACTAAAGCAGTTGTTTCAATTATGCACAAGGGTGTATGTCTCTTGATTTAAAAAATAATGACCCTTTTCAGAGCCGCCAAAAACCATTGAAAATTATGACTAATCTACTCATGTCCATAGTATTTTTGTCTGTTTAATAAAGCTTTAGACATCCTTATAACAATGTTAGTAATACAGTAAAGAGAAAGAAATCACTTGATTGAGGAGATATAACTGAACGGAAAAATATTTTCAGAAAGTTTTCTAATTTATATATTCACATATATTTTTAATTGAGGATTTAATAGCTTACCGTACTAGCTAGTCAAAGTCTACAGTGTCATTTTTCTTTTCGTCTTTCTTCCCTGCCAGCTAACGACATTTAAAAGGCTTTTGACGTCATTATAATAATGTTAAAAACACAGTAAAGATAAAGAAAACAGTAAGTTAAACCCTTGTCTATATCCTGAAAAATATTTGTACAAAGTTTTCTAACCGAATAACCTATTCAATGAAAAAAGAAATTCATTATCAAGTACTGAAATTTTCATTAAAATCTAATAATTCCGTTTTGTTTTGTAACTTTTTTCAAAATCTGAGTTTTCACTAAAGAAAGCTTTTTCCATCAAAATATTTCGCAACGATAAAAAAAAATGTAATAATTGTTTGATGTAAGACCAAGAGAAGATGGTTGGCGCGTGTAGAACAGACGAACCGAGCTCTATTTTTCCCCTGTGTTTTTTTTTTTTTTTTTTTTTTGCTGTATGCAGCCTAGCGTTGTCATGGGGAATAACATTTTTCGTATTGAGCGCACAGTGTTTTTGGACCGAATTTTTATGTTCACGTTGCAGCTGCCGGACGTATAAATGTGCGTTTAGTGTTTCATTGTGTTTCAAGAACTCGAAATGCATAATACCCAGATGATCCCACCCATCTTCCATGGAACTCCATTTTTGGGGGCCGGAGATTTATCCATGACACTCTACTGCCTCTTGTGCTGAACCCATTTTTCACTACCTGTTATATAATATATTTAAGCAACAGTGAGTTAGGATGATACGTTCGCCAGAGCATTTGTTTACCAAAAACAAAAACTCAACCTAATATATTTATCTAAACATGGCATTAAATTCCTCAAATTTTGAAAAGAAAGAAATGTATGGAGAAATTTTTTTTTTTTTTTTATAATTTATTTTAAATCTTCTTTTTATTTATTTCAGATATCATCCCCTCCAAATCATGGCTGGTGAGTTGAGATTTTGTATCAGAAAATAGTCTTAATTTAATCAGACCCGTCATCCGATCGTTTTTGAGTGGTAGGAAGGACTGACTTTTAAGTATAAGCAAGTAAGAATTTGCATAATAAAATTAGTTGATATCATTTTCACAGTCGGGGTCTAATGAATTTCTGAGTAGGGGCCAGTCTTGACGACTGGTCTGAATCTCATACGACAGCTGCACAAGTATTGCTTACTTTCCAGGCTATTTCACTTGCGTAAAATTCTCACCTGGATCTTTAATAAAATGTCATTGGTAGATTTTAACACGAAATTTATATTAGACAATTAAAATATTAAACAATATTGAAGAATATGATATATATCGGACAAAAGGTAGGTAACTGAGTCTTATGTAACGCATTTCATCCTTCAAAGGGACTTGGTGGAATTTACTCACATGTTATCTGCCAAGACACCCGCTAGACGATCCTGTTCAGAACTATAAAAGAATATGACAATAAATCGTTTCTCCTGTTCACCCAGAAACCGGTAAATAGCAGACTCGAGTTGTCCAGTCTTCTCTTGTAGGAGAGGCTTAGTCAAAAACCGACTAGTTAATTTCAAACAAACCACGTGGACAAACACACACACATACAATACACACATTAGGGCTAAGTATATAAATAAGTTTTCTTTTTATAAACTTTCTGTACACATGTGGATATAATGTTCTCTATTTTGTGAGCTATGGTGTTCTCTATATAAAAATAAAATCCCACATGTGTTGAGATTAATTTCTTCTGAAAATTTACTTTGAATCTTCTAAATTTCTCTCCGTTACAATTGTATATTTTTCCACTACAGATTGGTGACCGACAGTAATCCCGCCCAATACAAATTGTAGCACAATTCGCTATAGATTTCTTCAGGCTAGATTTTTTTATTGTTAGAATCCTATATATGTAGGGGTTAGAGGGCGTGGGTGAACAGTTATCGATTGTAATTAAACATTGAAAGAAAAATGCTGAAGTTGCTTAGCTTATCTTTAAATTTCTAATGTCTAGAAGCCTTAGCGACTCCATTCAGCTTCTTACCGCTTTTGTTTCCGTTTTTATCGCTCTCACATTGTAATAGCAGTGGTTTTGTTAAGAAAGGTGAAATAGTGTATATGAACATGGACGTAAATTTACCACAAAAGTCTCAGAAATTAATGTACTTTCTATACATTTTCGCCTTAAATTAATAATTTTAATTAAAACGGCATTCTTTAATTCGAAATTATGGACTGGCTATAAAAGCAAGTAATTATTATTAAGTATTAACTCATTACGCTGAACGTCTAACACATTGAGTGTGTTATTTTGTAAAATTTGCCTTTTTGTATTCATAATCTCTTTCAATAAATATTTTTATTTGGGGAAAACGTTTGGATCCCCCACTCAAAAACTTAGTATTAAAATGATTTTAAATTCTGTAAGAGATAATATATGTAATATAAAACGATTTCTATTCATTGCATAGTAGGGAAACGTAAAATATAAAAAAGTTCTGGAAAAATATAAATGTTTTCCTAATTGCATAATTAAGAGAGCGAATTTTCTCCGACCTGGACCCTTTCCTTCATACGGATTTCCTATTACAGGGCTTACATTTTCGTCTTACACCGGCAACAAGCAAAGCACCATAAACAAAGACTTTGTTGTTAACATCGGAATTGTCTTGTTATGGATAATGAGCCGATGAGTATGATATTTAATCACTTCATTCAAACTAACACAAAACTTTGGTATTGTTAAGTTCAGCGTTTCAAACAAATTTTACGTACTCTAAACTCTGATTTACATCCCACTTATTTTTTTAAAACTAGCTTCATATTCTGATACCTCATTTTTTCGTTTGGATTTTAAAACAGTTTTTCGAAATAAAACGAAAGATAATTACATTTCAAACGTTTATTTTGTTTATTTTTTTTTCATTTTTCGTAAGTAGAAACTGAAATGTAATTTAGAATGGGTGACCGGAAAAGTCTAAGAATTTGAAATAGAGCAAAATAAAAAAGAAAAAAAAGGTCGGAACGTCTTTCTTCGTCCTTTGGATTTGAAAAGCTATGAATCAGAACTGATTCTTTTTTCTTTTCTTTTTTTTTTTTTTTTAAATACTTAGGAAAAATAAATTATTGTATTCCGAATAACTTTTTAAAACTTTTTTTTTAGTATTGTTTACAGATGCCTGACTTTTTTTCAATCAAAGGAGGTTTCAGAATATGAGTCTCATGGTGGTGTAAATTTTTTTTGCAGCTTTGCTGAAACATTTTTAAATAACCATTGTCAATATTTCATTTTATTTTTAATGTATTTTTGATTGTGCTGGTTACTCAGAGCCGTAGACTGACGGTTTATTTATTTGTGATGAGACCCAACTTACTAAACAATTAAGATGAAAGAAATATTAGTAAAAAAATGTAATTGTCTCAAGGCTTCACGACGACGACCATTATTATTGTTGTTATTACTACTCCTACTAGTAGTAGTGTTGTTGTGTGTGTCAAAAGAGAAATTAAGAGAAAAGAAATTAGTCAAAAAAAAAAAAAAACTAACTTCCTTCTTTATTGTTTTTAAATTACTCTCTCTCTCTCCTGGGGCAATTAAGGATTGATTTTTTTTTTTCTCAAAAAACATAGTTTACCTGTTTTCTGATTAAAAGACACAAAAAACAAATGTTTATGCGGCTACATAAAATAAAAAGAAAACTCTATCCTTTGTTTTTTTTTTTTTTTTTCAACTAACAAACAAAAAGAAGGTATTTTTGTTGAACAATGGTGGACACGATACAATCATTATTATAGTTTTTAAAAACTTAAGTAAAAAAAATTTCTCACAAATTCCATGTTTTTTATTTACAGTGTAACCCGGATATAAGAAAGTTGTCGGGACCGGAGAAGAAGTCTCTTATATCCGGGTTTGGTCTAACACAGGCTCTAATTTGGGACCAGAGAAAATCTCTCTTATATCCGGGTTACACAGTATAATAAAAATTATATTTTGAATTTTTAAAAATCTCGAGAACAGATGAAAAAAATAAAATGAACGAAATAGATTCGTGCTTTTTCCAAGGGCATATTATCTGTGCCCATTAAAAGGTGAAGTCACTTTCCACTCCTCAATCTGACAAAGGTCGAAGTCAAACAGGTGAAATAAAATAAAAACACACACACCTGTTTGTTAATTTTAATTGCCGTGCATCTTTTTGAGTAGCCATGTTCATGTAAGCTCTTTTTGGCCCTGTGGAAATGGTTGAAATGGAGAATGCTCTTAATTTTTTATGAAAAGTGTTGCTCTGAAATTCGGCTTTCTCTATCAATTTGTGATAAATTGAAACGTAAAAGAGGATATACAATGAGGGAGAAAATATTCTTTAAAAATTTCATTGATAAAATATTTTTAAAATTAATTATTAATGGAATACGATTTATTTATTTATCTATTTTACTGCTTTTGGAATTTTTAATGACTGTACTAATAAATTGTGACCCAGTTTAAAAATTAGTCATTTCTTTGGTTAAATAATAAAAAAAATGACTCACAAAAAAATTTAATATTCACTGGAAAACTTTTAAAAGATTTATTCTTCCTGATTTAAAATAAAAGCTTAAAAACAAAGGTAAAATGTTAGTGGCATGGGTAGTGGTATTCCCAACAATATTCCTCAATTTTAAAATTTCTTTCCTTCATTATTACAAATAGCAACTGGCAATCTAGTAAAACAGCGTCTGACATGAAAGTGTGTGCAAAGCAAAGGTGTGTTATTTAATTCACTGAAGAAAAAAAAAACTTGCACCTATTGATATTCACTGACAGTTATTAAATATTTACAGTGACCAAATAGTGGATGTAATCACAGAAAGTATTACAATTCAGCAGTTATGAGAGCAATGTGTATGACAAGCCATGCACAGTGACCAACCCACATTTGGTGAATAGTCTCAGGTATTGTTGATAACTATGTGGAAAAATAGTGTTTTGTAGTTGAACAATCAAATGGTGTACAAATGTGTTCTCGGTGTCTGTCGGAGTTAGCATGGAAATAAATAGAAGGCATTATTTTTGGAGATACTCATAAATAAAATTAAATTTATTTCTTTTTTTCAATCTTTCTCATAACAAAAAATAATTCATAGAGTTGATTAAATTTTTTTTGATATAATAAAAAGATTATTTTTAATTTTGGGTCAGATTTTATTTTTTTTCTGCATCCCTTGTTAATTTCTGCAGTACTGTTCTGTTGCAGACAGTTCATATTCCTGGTTTATCATCTATCATCAGGTCAAGAATTCTTGGATTCTCCTGACTCATTCCTTCCAACTATCTCTGTCAGATATCGCTGACCAAAGCCATCTGTCTCTTAGCAAAGCTGAGATAGGAGGAAGGTGTCATTACTTTGTTGGGTGTTTCTTCCAGCTGATGTCCATTGCAACTCTTAACATCCTTGTGTATGTTATGTCAAGTGATGCTTCTTGGTGTTTCATCAGTGTCCATGTTGTTGAACCATAGAGCAAAACATATTCCACCGTAGCCTTAAAGAAGTCCTCTTGTAGGAGAGGGAGGATTTCCAGATTGTGCTCAGACCATCAAGGACACCCCAGGTCTTGCCTTTGTGGATTTTCATGTCTCTCTACATTGACTGGATATTACTGCTGAAGTAAACAAATTCCTGGATAGACTTGATGTTGTTTCCGACTCAAAGATTCACTCTTCCTGGTACAATGGGTTAATTTTATTGCAAAGTCAGTTTGGTTTGTTTTATGGCATATCAATACCTCAATGGGTTATTTAGTGCCGACAAGATTTTTATTGGTGGTAATATTTTTCTTTCCAAAAATTCATTGCAGGTTATAATTTTTGACAAAAATGTGTTGCTGGTATTAAAACATATTCTTACACTTTCATAGTGTTTTGATTCCAGTTTGGAGGTTAACTATTTGTCCATAGCTGGGACCCTAACAGGTGCTACCACTCCAGGTCAGAGAGGACCTGGGAACATCAGCAATTAATAAGTGGTTCCATGCTTCTCAAAACCTCCTGATCCTGATCGGAGGCCTTGCTGTTGGATGTAGTTTATTGTTCATAGTCAGTAATATTTATCAAGGATTAGAATGAATATATATATATATATATATATATATATATATATATATATATATATATATATAAAACCCATTCTTTAAAAAAATTAACATATTTGCAGTATGACCATTTTTCATTATTATGCTTGATTATTTTTGCTTTTTTACAAACAAGAGAATACAATTGTAGGTATTTATCTCCTTACCCATGTTTCAACAGAATGTGACACAAGGTCAGTGTTTAATGTGGGATTTCAGGAACATTGTACAAAATTACTGAAGCATCTTTTGTGTGTTAGCTACTTCTATAATTAATGTGTAATGTTTCTTATAAGAATATTCTAAAATATGTGCAAAAATGGTGGTGAAAAGTTACATACGCAAAATCACAGAATCCGATTGATTCGCAATGCAAGATAACATTCATTAAGCAAAGCAACAAAAAGGAAAGTTTAACAATTTCTTTTCCCTGAAGTAAATTGCATACCCATCGAAAATTGTTAATGAATGCACCTGAGTGTGACTTGCCTGTGTAGGTGTGTTTGCGTGTGAAGTGTCCACGGCTCTTTTTGCTTCAGTGTGAAACATCAATAGCACACCCTTCAAAAGGAGAAAAACCAGAAGAGAGTTACTTTAAGGCTTTGCTTATTTTTATACCCCAGGGCTGCTGCTGATACTATGTTTATTAAGGTACCACACCTTCTTAGCACTTCCCCTTTTGGTAATGCCTCAAGCACTGAGTAATACCCCCACTCAGAAGGGGGCACCTCGAGGCGATGTAATGGTTAGCAAGCTTGTCTCGCTAGAACAATTACCACTGATTAGAGAGTTCGATTCTCACTGGGTGCCCCCTACTTTCGGCCTTGTGCCACATCTAAGCTACGTTTGGAAAATCACTGCCCCCACTCAGAAGGAGAGGTACTACCTGGAGGCAGATGGACCCCTAGTGCTTGACCTGATTATTAATTTCAACTCACCCAGTGGGGAGATGACCCATGGTTGTATTTTTTGTTTTGTGGATTTTGCTGCTACTCAACCCATGTCTCTGATGAACGTGTCTCTTATGAACATCTTCAAAAGTAGAGTGTCATGAGCTTGGAGGCTCTGTAGAGTTAGGACTTATGACAGGGTCTCACTTAATGGCAACATTCTCTGATAGTGACACCTCTATCTCTCTTATCTGTGGCCATGTTATCGTTTATAATGACAAGTAGAAGAAACCTTTTCCATGTCTGTATGTACGGAATGTGAGGCTGGAAATATTGTTATTTTATTAAAAAAACGTATGAGGATCATACAGAGAAAGAAAGAAAAGTCATGAAAAACTCAATTATGGCCATATCATCACCAATGTTAAGCAATGTCTAGCCTGGTCATGCCTAGATGAGTAACTGGTTGGGAACATTAGGCATTGTAAGCTTTGATGTGCCAGTTGTGTGTCTTAAGGCCATATCACATTGAAACACTGGTACCCGAATGATCACCAATGTTAAGCAATGTCAAGCCTAGTCAGTACCTAGATGGGTGACTGCTTGGGAATAGCAGGTGCTGTAAGCTTGCATGTGTGGGTGGTGTACTGGATAATGGCTTGGAATTCTTAATTGAAGAGTCAAGATTCAATTCCAGTTGGGTTTTTTTTATTCAGTTATGCACAAATACCTTTCAGAAGCGTGGGAATTCACCTCTTCTCCCCCCCAGCTAGGGGTTAATTAGTAAGATTTGTATCAGTAAACCATTATTATCACCAAAGAGAAGAAAAAATTTCTTAGAATTTAAAAATTGTTTTTTGGCTTTAAATAACCCGCGAAGAGTTGATAAAATGTAAAAAAACAAATTACTGATTAAAAAAATGAACTCAATTTCCTTGTTGAATTTCAAGATTTTATTTTTTAATTTCAATTTTGTAAACTATGAAGCACAGTTCCAAAATAGACTAACATTTTTCTGATGCATCGTTTTTTAATTTTAATGCTATATGTCCGTTTAGAACATAGACAATCATAACTCTCCACAATTTCCTATCCTTTGTAGCTCTTAGTAAAGCTTGTCTCTTTGCTATCTCTCATAATCCCTGTTCAGCCAACCATTTACACAAGCTGCTTCTCCTATGTGCTGTGTCTCTTCAGGATGTAGGCAGTAATGGCTCACCAATATTTCCTGACCTTTGGAACTATTAGTAAAGCTTGTCTCTTCACTATTCTAATCTCTGTTCTGCCAACCATTTACAGAATGTAGACAGTCATGGCTCTCCACTATTTCCTGTCGTTTGAATTATCTTCCATTCTCTCCTATATGCTGTGTCCCTTCAGGATGTAGACAGTCATGGCTCTCCACTATTTCCTGACCTTTGGAATTATTAGTAAAGCTTGTCTCCATTATCTCTCCTAATCCCTGTTCTGCCAACCATTTACACAAGCTCCTTCTTCTTCTATGTGCTGTGTCCTTCAGGATGTACTATTTCCTGACCTTTGACAGTCATGGCTCCATCCACTATTTCCTGTCCTTTGGAATTATTAGTAATTATTAGTAAAGCTTGTCTCTCCATTATCTCCTCCCAGTAATCCCTGTTCTGCCAACCATTTACATTTCCTGTCGCTTGAATTATTAGCGCCTTCTTCTTCTATGTGCTTGTGTCCCTTCAGGATGTAGACAGTCATGGCTCTCCACTATTTCCTGACCTTTTATTAGAATTATTAGTTTAAAAGCTTGTCTCCATTATCTCTCTCCTAATCCCTGTTCTGCCAACCATTTACACAAGCTCCTGCTTCTTCTATGTGATGTGTCCTTCTTCTTCTATATGCTGTGTCCCTTCAGGATGTAGACAGTCATGGTCTCCACTATTTCCTGTCCTTTCTGGAATTATTAGTGGATGTCCCTTCAAAATGCTTGTCTCTCCACTTATTAGTAAAGCTCTCCTAATCCCTGTTCTGCCAACCATTTACACAAACTCCTTCTTCTTCTATATGCTGTGTCCTTCTTCTTCTATGTGATGTGTCCCCTTCATATGCTGTGTCTCTTCAGATGTAGACAGTCATGGCTCTCCACTATTTCCTGACCTTTGGAATTATTAGTAAAGCTTGTCTCTCCACTAACTCTCCTAATCCCTGTTCTGCCAACCATTTACATGTGCTGTGTCCTTCAGGATGTAGACAGTCACGGCCTCCACTATTTCCTGTCGCTTGAATTATTAGCCCTTCTTCTTCTATATGCTGTGTCCATTCAGGATGTAGACAGTCATGGGCTCTCCACTAAATTTCCTGTCGCCAACCATTTACAATTATTATGTGTCCTTCAGGATAAAGCTTGTCTCTCCACTAACTCTCCTAATCCCTGTTCTGCCAACCATTTACACAAGCTCCTTCTTCTTCTATATGCTGTGTCCCTTCAGGATGTAGACAGTCATGGCTCTCCACTATTTCCTGTCGTTTGGAATTATTAGTAAAGCTTGTCTCTCCACTAACTCTCCTAATCTCTGTTCTGCCAACCATTTACAGAAGCGCCTTCTTCTTCTATATGCTGTGTCCCTTCAGGATGTAGACAGTCATGGCTCTCCACTATTTCCTGACCTTTGGAATTATTAGTAAAGCTTGTCTCCACTAACTCTCCTATTCTGTTCTACAACCATTGGGATGTATTATTACTATTTCCTGTAAAGCTTGTCTCCACAACCATTTAACTCTCCTAATCCCTTCAGTTCTGGCCAACCATTTTACACAACTCTCCTAATCTCTGTTCTCCTTTACAGCTTCTTCTATGTGATGTGTCCCTTCAGGATGTAGACAGTCATGGCTCTCCACTATTTCCTGTCCTTTGGAATTATTAGTAAAGCTTGTCTCTCCATTATCTCTCCTAATCCCTGTTCTGCCAACCATTTACACAAGCTCCTTCTTCTTCTATATGCTGTGTCCCTTCAGGATGTAGACAGTCATGGCTCTCCACTATTTCCTGTCGTTTGGAATTATTAGTAAAGCTTGTCTCTCCACTAACTCTCCTAATCCCTGTTCTGCCAACCATTTACACAAGCTCCTTCTTCTTCTATGTGATGTGTCCCTTCAGGATGTAGACAGTCATGGCTCTCCACTATTTCCTGTCGTTTGGAATTATTAGTAAAGCTTGTCTCTCCACTAACTCTCCTAATCCCTGTTCTGCCAACCATTTACACAAGCTCCTTCTTCTTCTATATGCTGTGTCCCTTCAGGATGTAGACAGTCATGGCTCTCCACTATTTCCTGTCGTTTGGAATTATTAGTAAATTTAGCTTGTCTCTCCACTAACTCTCCTAATCCCTGTTCTGCCAACCATTTACACAAGCCCTTCTTCTTCTATATGCTGTGTCCCTTCAGGATGTAGACAGTCATGGCTCTCCCACTATTTCCTGTCGTTTGAATTATTAGTAAAGCTTGTCTGTCCTTTACACAAGCTCCTTCTTCTTTCTATATGCTGTGTCCCTTCAGGATGTAAACAGTCATGGCTCTCCACTATTTCCTGTCGCTTTGAATTATTAGTAAAGCTTGTCTCTCCACGTTTGGAATTATTAGTTGTCTCTCCACTAACTCTCCTAATCCCTGTTCTGCCAACCATTTACAGAAGCGCCTTCTTCTATTCTATAAGCTTGTAGACAGTCATGGCTCCTGTCCACTAATGTAGACAGTCTCTCCCTGTCCCTCCACTTCTCCTAATCCCTGTTCTACAACCATTTACAGAAGCTTTCTTCTTCTATATGCTGTGTCCTTCAGGATGTAGACAGTCATGGCTCTCCACTATTTCCTGTCGTTTGGAATTATTAGTAAAGCTTGTCTCTCCACTAACTCTCCTAATCCCTGTTCTGCCAACCATTTACAGAAGCCTTTTTTTTCTTCTTCTGTCCTTCAGGATGTAGATCATGGCTCTCACTTTTCCTGTCGAATTATTACCAATCACTAACTCTTAATCACAAGCTCCTCCCTTTCTTCTATATGCTGTGTCCTTCAGGATGTAGACAGTCATGGCTCTCCAAGCCTTTGTTTGAATTTTTAGTAAAGCTTGTCTCTTCACTATCTCTTCTAATCTCTGTTCTGTCAACCATTTGCACACACTCCTTCTATATTCTGTGTTCCTTCAGAATGTAGACAGCAGTCCACTGTCGTTTGAATTATTAGTAAAGCTTGTCTCCACAACTCTTCCTGTCCTTTGTTGCTGTTTAGTAATGCTTGTCGCTTATGTGATGTCCTTCAATCAATCTCTCCTTTGTAGCTTTTAGTAATCCCTTCACTATCTCTTCTAATCTCTGTTCTGACAACCATTTGCACAAGAATGTAGGCAGTCATGGCTCTCCACAATTCTTCCTTGTTGCTCTTAGTAATGCTTGTGTTCCTTCTGGATTTGTATGTGCTGACATGGGCTTCCACTATTTTCTTTCTTTTGAAACTCTTAGTAAAAGTTGCCTTTTACTATCTCTCCTAATCCCTTTTTTGTTTCCATTTTCCCCAGAACTTTCTCACATGTTCAATCTATGATATCCTTAGCTTCATTCTGCAGAACTACGTTTTTGTTGTCTCAAGTCTTCTTCATCTATGATAAGATTGTCCAGCATTTACTGTCATAAAGCTATATTTACCTAGTTATTTTATGCATATAAGAGATATACATAATCGACACATACCTTGACTGGCTTTTAAACTTTCTCACTCCTCGTCTAATAACATTACACAGTATTGATTGTACATTGACACTTTTATTTTTTCACACTGGGCTTGCAGAAAGGCGATTTTGGAATGTTTCCCAAATTACATCTGCTGTATCTAGCCTTAAAGTAGATTGTTTCTGGGTTATGGAACTAGTCTCACTTTGTCCTGATTCCAGCTATTTGTCAAGTTATGAACAATCTCCAAGAAATATGTATCATATCTAATCTGAAAGTAGACAGTCTCAGGATTTCAGAATTGGACTAACTTTGTCCTAATTCCAAGGATTTGCCAATTTTGAAATTTATCAAAAGATATAATCATGAAAATATTCATATGAATATCAACAATGGCCCCATGGCATACTCAGAAACAAACATTTGGCATTTTTGGAATATTTCAGTTATTTTCTGCCTCGTTTTCACCATGAAGGTTTACGACTATATCATGCTGGAATACTGGTTTTCATATGATCACCAAAGTTAAGCAATGTCGAGCCTGGTCAGTATCTAGATGGGTGACTGTTTGAGAAAACCAGGTACTTTAAGCTTGGACATGTGTGTGGTGTAATGGATAATGGCTCGGAATTGTTAATTTGAGAACCGAGTTCCAATTCCTGTTGGGTTCGTTATATTCACTTATATGCAAATATCCTTGGGAAAGTTTGGAATCCGCCTCTACTGCCAGCAGCCTATGAGTTGATGAGTAAGACTTGTTTCACTAAGCTATTATTATCTCCAAAATCAAAAAAATTCTTGCAATCTAAAAATGTTTTCTGGCTTTAAATAACCTACAAAGGGTTGATAAACCATAGAAAATTAATAAATCTATCAATTTTTTGTCATTGGCATTTTGTTGAAGTGAGTGTTGTAAGTGACAGATTTAAGTTGCTGTTCTTTTTTAAAAGTGGCTTATATCGAGTCAATTTTGAGGCCTTATAACACAAAACTGAGTCAAATTAACAACATTTTTGCCATTTTATTACTTGCTTCTTTTACTCTACACCCCCAACTTTGAATAAAATGTCGAAGAAAAATTATTTTTTTTCTTTTTAGTTTCCAAATATTAAAACAATTTAAATCTGAAAAATTTAAGAAAATTCTTCTTGGAAAGATATGAAAGGAATTGAGTACATTTTAAACATGTTCAATTGTTTGTGACCCACTTTTGGCACCATATGCCGAGTACTAAATATAATTTTTGACATAACTTTCTTTGTATTTATCAGAAAATCATCCAGTCCTATAGTTTTTAGGGTGCTGAATCTATTTTGGTATAGGAAATTCCCTAAAAATGCAAATTTTAAGCTCCTTTTGAGAATTTGATCCTTCATTGTAGACCTGGAGTTTTAGACCTAAACCCTTATTTTTAATTAGAAATGTGAAAATTGTTTTAAAATTTTCCTCTTAAGTACAAAGAACATTGTGAAATGATTAAAAAAAAAATAAAGGTTCCATAATTGAGGTGAAAATCCTTCAAGAAAATAGCAAATGTGCATTTCTTTTTTTTTTAATTTGAAATGAGAAAGTTTTGTTTGAATCTTTCTCTTAAGTAAAAATAAATTTTACGCACTTCCATAATTGAGGTGAAAATCATTCAGGGTACTCAAAAACCACAAATGTCTGCTTGGCTCCATTCTGCAAGCCCACTGTGTTGCTCACCATGTTTTCACATAATATATTTCTTTTCTTCATATTGTTTTGTACTTTACAGCATCACTTCCTCTTCATGACGCAATCAAACCTTTGGAATGGTTACTCGGCTCTTGGTATTCCACAAATGGAGAAGGTGGTTTCCCAACGATTTCAACATTCAAATATGGAGAGAAGTTACAATTTCACCATGTCGGACAACCCAACATTCAGTTCAGGTAATTTTTCAAGAGTTCATAATCTTTAAGATGTGTTTTTAGGATATATAATAGCATTCAGAACAAAAGTGAAGATGATTATTAATGATGCATTTCACCAAGATTGGTCTGTTCTCTTTGGCTTCCTCAGGTTAAAATGAAAGAGTGACAAAACTATGTGAGGAAAAATGCCTTGGGATCTATGAGGATGATTGAGGACCATAAGTCAAATTACATTACCTTATCACCTCCAGTGTTCAGATTCGAGAGTGCCTGTCAGCCGGTTTGTTTGTTTTATACAGAGGTATTGTGTTGTTGAATTTTAAATCAGTCCACTGAAACTAGTGTTTATTATTATATATGTATATACTTGCATATATGCATACATACCCACCCAGGCATATACATATATTAGAGCCTTTTTTTGTGTATACTTGTACATACATGTACACACATACATGCCCATTCATATATATCTGCACACACACACACACACACACACACACACACACACACACACACATTGTATGGCCCCATTTTTTTTCTTGTCTCTTTTTTTTCCAGATAGGTTAATTGTTAATGAGCCTTGTTTGGTTATAACTAGTTGGTGGGGGGGAATTGTGCTGATTGGGCCAAGAGACATTCATTGCACATTTTAGAAATGATTTATATAAGTGACTCTCAACATGGTCAGTAACAACTTGAAAGACTATTGGGCCTCAAACTTGCACCTGACCTCAAGAGGAACTCATCCATGCAATCTTTTACTAAGGATACAGATAAAATGGCTCCCTGTATCTGACTCTTCATGCTATCTTCTACCTTTACAAGAGCCAGACCAGGCCAAAAATGGAGTACTGTTGTCATACCTTGGCGGGAGCTACCACAACTGCTCTCCCCTAAGAGTCCTTGGGTTCTGGCAAGCCTCCTCAACTGCTCTCCCATCGATATTTCCAAGAAAAGTACAAGAAAAGTACTCAAACAAACTACATTCTCTGGTCTCGCCAATTCAAACCTTCATGGCAAGGTGGAATCGACCCCCAAGAGGATGTTTCCCCATCACTACAATCTTAACCTGTTCAAGGCTTTGGGTGGGAGGTGCCCAGACCTCACTGTCTAGCCAAAAGCATCACCAAGCCCATTGTGGGTGATGAATTATTCTTCAACCTCTCGGATGTTGCAAGCATATTGCTGCTCTATTGCTAATTTCAGAAACTGTTCAGACAATCTACATTCCCTTGTGCCAGTTCAAACCTTCATGGCAAGGACCTTCCATGCCACTTCCATAGTATCAAATTACCCACATTCCCTTCATATTCCATCAGTGAGAAGTAAGTTCCATTCTAACAGCTTCTTCCCATGAACCACTGCTCTGTGGAACTGACTCCCAAGAGGATGTTTCCCTGATCACAACAATCTTAACCTGTTCAAATCTAGGGTTAACCATTATCTTCTACTCCTATCTTCACAAATTACCTCCTAATGTAACTCTCTACCTCAAGTGGCCACTGGGCCTTGTAAAGGGTGAACCTTACTGTGTAAAATAGAGTACTGTTGTATCCATCTTTAGGGTTTGTGGGAGATGTCCAGACCTCACTCTCCAGTTTTGACAGAGTCCAAAAGTGTCTCCAAGCCTTTGTGGGTGACAAATTATTCTCCAGTTCTCCAACCTCTCTCCAAGCCTTTGTGGGTGACAAATTATTCTCCAGTCTCCAACCTCTCTCCAAGCCTTTGTGGGTGACAAATTATTCTCCAGTCTCCAACCTCTCTCCAAGCCTTTGTGGGTGACAAATTATTCTCCAGTCTCCAACCTCTCTCCCATAGGTCGTATTTGGCAAATTTCTTGCTGCTCTATCGCTACTTTCATAGAAAGTGCTTGGATGATCTACATTCCTTGTTTCCGCCATTTCAAACCTTCATGACAAGGTCCTGCCATTCCACTAACCTAGTAGCAGACCACCCACATTCCCTTCATATTTCATCAGTGAGAAGTAAATTCCATTCTAACAGCTTCTTCCCACAAACCAAAGATCTCTGGAACTAATTACCAAGAGGATGTTTCCCTGATCACAGCAATCTTAACCTGTTAAAGGCTAAGGTTAACCATTATCTTCTACTCCTATATGCCCAAAGTGCCTCTTAACACAACCCTCTACTTCAAGTGGCCACTGGGCCTTGTAAAGAGTGAACAATTACTGTGTAAAATAAACAATAAAATAAAAACACCCTCTTGGAAGCTATGAATTCTCAAGGAGGTAGCAAGTGTTCAGAGGCATTATTGGGCAAAACTTTTAATCCATTTTTGTATTATGCCCAATTAAACAGGCAGTTATAATCAACTGTGGTCAACAAACTTAATACATTAGACTATAAGGACTTAAATAGACTGGTTTGCTTATAAAAAGTAGGGAAAATGTTTTTAGGAAATAGGAATATTTTTAGGAAATAATTTTTGTAGATAGGAATTGTTTAGACCTTACTTGAGCTGCAACACTTGTCAGAATAAAAAAAAATGTATATTTTTTTTATCAATTCAAAAATTTAAAATTAAAAGTTCAATTGACTTATCTGGAAATTCACATTGAAATGCTCATCAGTGTCAGAAGTTTGATAAATCGTCATCATTGTAAGCTTTATCCCATATCCAAGAGTTTAGTATATTTTTTGCTGATCACTTCATTTATGATGGTGTTAATGACTAAGTAGAACAATTCTTGCATGGAAGAGCCAATGATGTTGACTGCATGGTTATTTTTGTGGAGGAAAAGGTTGATTTTGTCAAGCCTTTCTCTCTTGTTGCTTGACTTCTTTCTTTTCTCTTCTGGTGGTTTTGAAGATTTTTGTAATGGAACACTGCCAGTTGGTATGGTCCCAAGCTTGTGTTTGAAACGATTTAGGCCCAAGTCTAGTGATCCAAATGTTCTATGATTCCAAATGCTTTTCACTATACTTTCAGCCATTATCAAGGATGATTTTATTTTTTCAATTTAATTGGGTGTGCAGGTGGTGTGTATGTTTTTACTGTTATAGAGTTATGTTTGATTTGCCAAACACAGCACATTCCAACATGAGAATCATTTCACACAAAAGTAAATGTCAATGAGCACCCCAATAATTGGCAACGAGTTCTCTATAATAACGATGACAACAACAAACATGAGGATCTGAATATAAATAAGGTAAGTGAAATAGATAGGAGGCACAGTGGACTAATAGATAGTGGCTCGGATTGAGGAATCGGAGAGCCGAGTTCGAATTCCATTCGAATCCATTACATTCACTTACATGCTAATACCCTTGGGAAAAGGTATGAATCCTTTTCTCCCCCCAACTATGGGTAAATAACAGGATAGATCAGGTTCTATAGCCTTGGATGGCAACTGGTCTACCGCAGAAAGAAATGGCAACCTACTGTGGGGAAAATATCTGCCTCGTCAGTCATGTATCAAAAGATACATGATCGCCTAAGCATGTATCATGCATGGCACATAACTGACTGACTGAAATAGATATCTACCAACCGAGACTTTGAAAGTTTTATTAAAATTATAGTTAATTATAAATTAAGTAATAGTTAAATAGTTTTTAATTAATAATTAAATTATAGTTAATTATAAAATTATAATATGTTCTCAGTGTCTGTCGTAGTTAGCATGGAAATTAAATAGAAGGCATTATTTTTGGAGATACTCATTAGTAAAATCCCTTATTGATCTCTGCAGTACTGTTCTGTTGCAGACAGTTAATATTCCTGGTTTATCATCATCATCCGGTCAAGAATTTTTGGTTTCTCCTGACTCGTTCCTTCCAACCGTCTCTGTCAGACATTGCTGTTGTCAGGTCCTCCATATGGCATCCAGTGTCATCTACAAGTTGGTCAATGTTCTCCTGAAACGTTTCTTCCAACCGTCTCTGTCAGACATTGCTGTTGTCAGGTCCTCCATATGGCATCCAGTGTCATCTACAAGTTGGTCAATGTTCTCCTGAAACGTTTCTTCCAACCGTCTCTGTCAGACATTGCTGTTGTCAGGTCCTCCATATGACATCCAGTGTCATCTACAAGTTGGTCAATGTAGGTGTGATGAGGTCTCCAATTGATCTTTTGCCATGCAATGAGTTCCATAGGAGGGTGTCACTCACAAGTTTCAACTTACTTCTCCAGGAGGGGCTAGCTAGTGGAATTTAACTAATCTAAATTTCAAAAGATATGCATTTCTTAAATAGGATAATTGAGCTTTGCTTTTCTGTCATGGCTTCCTGTGACTTAACCCTAGAACACTAACTAATATAGTACCCAGCACAAATTTTCCTATTTTTAAGTACAATTTTCAGTACCTGATTTTCTTACCTAAATAATGTTTTTCAGTTCCTATTAATGTTAGCTCAAAGTACAAAGTTTGAAGTGCCTGCATGTAAAATATTTCAAATAAAGATTTATATTTAATATTTTTTTTGATATTTTGAAAATTGGGTACGATATACCCATGGTTAGTAGTGGTGTAAACTGATGGTTAATGATCTAGGGTTAATGACAAACCACACCTGGCTTGAAGGTGGTTTCTCAGATTCAAAAGAAAATATAGGTTCAAATCCTGTTGGGAGGCAATTTTTATTTTTCATTTTTAAAATAAAGCCTGCAATCTCTAGGTGGGTAGATGTCAATTTTACTGTTTAATCAAAGGGAGGCATCAACTCAAATACATGTACGCAGTAACTCTTATGATTTTATAGTAGTAAAAAACATATAGTGTTTGTATGAATGTATATTTTCTATATTAATCCATCTCTCTCCCTCCACTAATATGCCGTCACTGATAAATTTGAAGATAAGATTTGGGTTGGTGAGATTGGCTTGTTAATCATTAACAACATAAGATATGCAGATGGCACAGTGTTGATAGCAGACACGGAAAGGAAACTACAAAAACTACAGAAGGTAGTGAAGGAAAGCGAGAAGAAAGGACTAACTATAAACTAAAAGAAGACATAATGAAGGTTATCAACAAAAGGGTGAGCCCAAAATTACAAATTACTAATCAGGGATACTAAAATCAAACAAGTACAGAAATTTAAATATCTGGGGACGGAAAGTGTGACACTGAGATCCGAAGACGTATTCAGATGGCCAAAGGTGCCTTCCAAAAGCTAAGCAGAATATTAAGAGACAGAAAAACTTTGTTAGAAAACAAAAGAAAAGAATACCGAACTGTTTCATATCTGTCCTCCTGTATGATAGTGAATGCTGGGCAATCTCCTCTAGTTAGTGGAGAGACAAGCTTTATTAATAACTAGCAGTAGAGCCCGGCGTTGCCCGGGGATGTAACAGTAAGAGATAGATCAAGTATTGACCATCATAAAAACTGAAAAATAAAATTGACAAAGATTATTGTTTAAGGTTGATAGACACGCATGTCTTAATTAGTTTTTTTTTTACAAATTGGTCAAACCTAAGCTCAAACAAAAACATTGTTTTCAATCGTTATGAGTCTCTACCATTGAATAGAATTTTATTATAAACAATTGTCTTGTAAATGGAATTTTAAAGCATTCTGAATGTAAAAATAAGGAAAAAAAGTGTGCAAGACAATAAGAAACACTACCTGCCAAAAAAAAGTGAAGTTTTGTTGAAATCGGGTTGAAAATGTAGGAAATCCGATCCCATATATAAAGGAACACACACACACACACACACACACAAACAACCTGGGTTTTATAATAAGTATAACTTGATATGAGTTGTCCCCTTTTCATTCTGGCGACAGAATCGTGTTTTCAAATTGATTTTGTGCAAAAAGAATTGTGTTTTTCCAATTTTTGGCGCTCTCAGAACCACCTCAAGGTAATTTTATGTAGTCCTGTGAAGTTTTGTTGAAATCAGTTGAAAAATGTAGGAAATCTGATCCAATATATAAACATACAGACACACACACACACACACACACACAATCTGCATTTTATAATAAGTAAGATTCCAAAGGACAGGAAATAGTGGAGAGCCATGATGAAGAAGAGACTTGAAGCAACAGAAATATAGATCTACTGAAAGGCTGAAAATACCATGGACTGAACATGCGAGAAATGGTGAGGTTTTAGAAAAAAATGGAAAAAAAAAACGAAGGAAACTTTTGCTTAACATCGAGAAGAGGCAGTTGAAATTTCTGGGGTACATGATGAGGAAGGAGGGCTTGTAAAACATGATACTCACAGGACAGATTGAGGGACAGAGGAAAGCAACACATTACATACTTGATGAGCTTGAGTAGATGGTAGAACAGGGTTTGGGAGAAATAACAAAAAGACAAAACTTAGCTACAAGGAACAGGAAGATGTGGAGGGTCATAATCGCTTACGTCCTGAAGGGACATGGCACAAAAGTTGAAAAACCATTGCTCTACAGTGAGAACTCCCTATTAATTAAGCTGATTTTATTCAGGCCACAATGTAAGCAAGAGGAAACGAAAATAAAAAGGTTGTCACACCAAGTGGACAGGACTTGTCTGCTTTAAAAATTAGGATTAAGAATCCTCTTTTTTTAATACAGGCTTGAATACTGACCCCAGGTGCCCAAAGGGAAGATGAGGTACAAATCTTAATAGGGAGAATGAAACAGAAAGATTGTGTTGCTCCAGTCTTTTTTGAGAATGTTTGTCTGCTTTGAGAATCAGCATTACACATGTTTAGCTTTTATGCCTATGAAGGCAAATATACTCTTATCTAACCTAAAGGGTGAGCAAAGTTTTCTGGTAAGTGGGCCACACTGGAAAGGACAAAGTTCAGGTAAAAAATATGCACACACACACACACACACACACACACATTTCAACTGCTGTCAAGGTTAAATTTAAAATTTCTAGTTCTCGTATAAACAATCTGTACACCGGGGTTAAATAAGACTAACATACATTTTTTAGTTGAAATAGATCTATACCCCCATATGAGGTAAGTTTGGATTTTGTTGTGTAATTTAATATATATATATATATATATATATATATATATATATATATATATATATATATATATATAATTAAGTAATTCATTGAGTCTAGAAGTTCTAGAATCTAGGAATTACTTAATTATAATTATCTCAAATCCTCCTAATAATTTCTATCATTTGTATATTACTTGAACTGGGTTCTAATGCTTTGGATGGAGCGGCTTGGGGATAGTAGTCATGGCTCATGGGGGCACAGTCCTATGGGTAAGGGAAACTTGAGTGGTGCTATATTGAGTATAATTCATTACCTTTATGTCACTGAAGCCCGTTGGTACAGTTGGTATGATGTTTGCTTGATGTCGTAACTGTCTAGGTTTCAATTCTCAGTAGTGGATGCGCACTGCTGATGAATCCCAAATATAGGACGAAAACGACCCTCTAGTGCTTCCTGCATTCTGTTGAGGTTTCTTCTAGACTCGATGAATTAATTATAATTATCTCAAATCCTCTCCTAATAATTTCTATCACACACACACACACACATATATATATATATATATATATATATATATATATATATATATATAAAATATGAAATCAAAATTATTTGCACTCATAGCACAAATATATTATGGTGAAAGTGCAGGTAATTTTTGACTTACCTACATATATACAGTGTGAATCAAAAATACTTTTATAAATTTTGGGGTTGGTTTCCTTACACCAAAACAAGAACAAAAGTCCATATATACATGTTTGCAAATCCTTCATTTTTGAGTTATTAAGTTTAAAGACATTGTTAAATGTACAATGCAAGATACAATCCAAAACTACTTTTATAAATTTTGGGGATGGGTTCCTAAACAAGGTAAACATAAACTATAAACATATGTTGAAAAGGCCATCATTGTACCTCAACACAACAACTCATAACAAATGTTTAAAATGTCTTCCACTTGCTTCTACACATGCATGCACCCAATAGATTATTGACTGGCAAACTCTTTGAAATACTCCCACTCAGCGTCGGATGGTTTCACAGGCCCTATAACACGTTGAAGAAGTGTCTCTGCATTATTAATGTTTGTTGCATAAAAGTGGCCCCATAGATAAAAATCCAAAGGATTTAGGTTGGATGATTATGCAAACCATGGAAATGATCCTCTTCTACCTCTCCATTTTTCATGGTAGATGTAAGCCAGTGCATTGTGAACAATATGACTAAAATGTGCTGGAACCCCATCATGCATGTACCAGGTACATCTTCATATTAGCAGAGGTACATCCTCTAGCAGGTCTGGAAGTGTGTTCGAAATAAAGTCTTTGTAGACAGCTCTTGTAAGATGTACTAGAAGAACATATGTACCTACCAGAGAGTTAGCTACAATTCCAGCCTAGACATTAATCATAAACTGATGCTGGTGTCTAACCTGTATCATAGCATGGAGATTCGGATGTTCCCACAAATGTTGGCTGCATAAATTTGTTATACCATCTCTTTCAAATGTTACCTCATCCGTAAACAAGACTGAAGTGACAACCAACAGATCGGCAATTTGTGCAATAAACCATCAGCAAAACTTCTCCTGTGTTGAGTGATCAGAGGGCAAAAGACCCTGTACGTGTTGCAACTGATATGGATACAGGAGCTGCTCTTGAAGTACCTCTCCAACAGCCTGTAGAATGAGTTTTTTGTGGTCAGGCGTATGAGCAGTTCTTGGTCTTTCTCAATCCATAGTTTGTGTTGCCAAAGATTCTGTCTTAGCAACATGACGATAAATAGCAGCAAAGATTGGATGACTTCAATCTGGAAATGCAATCTGATACAACCATTCAGCCTTGTGTCCATTACCATTCACATGGACGTATATAAAATAATATCTGCCTGCTCACGACATGACTATCCTGCCATTTTTAAATGGAATACTTCTCAGTTAACTCACTACTACACACATAAAATGCTAAAGACAAACTAGCCACAAATGTACACAAATGACAAATGTAACCTAGTCTACATAGCAACACAGAACTATCTACCTTAAACTTTATACTTAATAATGCAAAAAGCAAGGATTTGTAAACACATGTTTATAAGGACTTTTCTCTTTGTTTTGGTGTAAGGAAATTTTGTAAAAGTATTTTTGATACACCATATATATATATATATATATATATATATATATATATATATGATACAAGTAAAAGGTTTGTCACCTATCTGATTGAGGTTACCTTCAGGATCCTGACTCCAGAGTGTTGTAGGTGGACTATCCAGGAATTACTCCATCCACTCGTCAGAGGATATCATCAATTGACTGCTTATAGTTCTTGATTTTTCTTTTTTACGTGCACTTTTCATTTGTGCAAATTTTTTATAGTGTATGTATGTATTCACACATATGTGCTAATGTGCCCCTCTGCATGTATGTATATATGTGTGTGTGTGTGTGTGTGTGTGTGTATGTATATGTGTGTGTATATATATATATATATATATATATATATATGAAGAAATAACTGATTTATTTTTAATCTTTGTATTTATCTTTAAACTGTGTATTACATCTGTTGGCCTATGTTTCAAGAATCTTAAAAAAAAAAAAAATACTCACTCCAGCAGGAATTGAACCTTTATCTCCATTTGTAGGCAGAACCACCATTTGAATTAGTGTGCTTTGACCCCTTGGCTATGAAGAGTGTCACAGTACAGCAAGGCTCGATTTTCCCTTTTAAGGAAAATATAGATAAAGAGACTAAAGATATAGGAATTAACACTACATGGTGACTGTTGCTTTGCAAATACACTGTTGCTTCCTATGCCTGGAATGTTAGTATCTATAAAGCCTTTTTAATATATTGTTTTTATTGATACTTTTGTCTTTTTCAGTCAAAAATATTTGGCAGAAAATAAAATTTCAGTGAATTTTCACTTTAAAGTCAAAATATTTCATATACTCATGAATTTGTCTTTTTTTCTTTTTCTTAAAAAATTTCAGTGCTTATGCATGGCATTTGGAATCAAAGAAACCACTTCATCGTGAACTTGGATTTATTCGAATAAAACCAGGAACGAATGAAGTTGCCTGGCTTGGAGCACAGAATCTTGGTAAGTTTTTTTTTTTTTTTATCAGCTTCAAAACAAAAAAAATGCCCCCGACAAATAAAAAAAGAATTAGACGACTTTGAGAAAGACTTAACTTGACCTAGTTAAAAACATAAAATTCCATAAAAACAAGATGCATTCCAAAAAATGAAAGAAGATATAACTAAAATAAACTTCAAAAGCTTCAAAAAATCAAACCAAAAAATCGGAAGAAAAACTAGCTATAACTGTTATATAACGATAAAAAATAAATAAATAAATAAAATAAAAATAAAAACCAAATAAATAAATACTACGTTACTTAAAAATCGAAAACCGAAACGAGAAAATATAGAAGTAAAATAAATTGACCTAAATAAATAAACTAACGAATCCCGATAAAGTTACCATTAGAAAAAAACAAATAAAGATAATCAACCCAAATAAACACAAATTAAAAACTGTTTCTGCCAAAATAATAGTTAGAATAAAACTACAACAACCAACCCCCAAACAGAACAAATAGCTTTAATTAAATTCTCAAACCAAAACAAAACTATTAAATAAGTGATATAAACAAATTTTTAAATAAACGACTTCGGAAAATTAACCGCCATGATAGACTACCCACAATGCACCACTGTATTTATATGTATAAATAGCCGAGAAAAATAACAGCACACGTGGCCTGATGATTGCATATAACATGAAACAGACTGTCGCCTCTAAGTGTTGACTTCTATGTTCACTTATATATATATATATATATATATATATATATATATATATATTTATATATACTATAGTGGAGATATGGATACCCAGCACTGCTCAGAAGATCTATGAATAATAGTTTATTATTGACAATTTATTGATATTTTTCAGCCATCTTATGAAAAATAAATTTTTATTCAATCTTTAAAAAGTAAACTTGATTGTTTTTTTTTTTTTTTGGTTTGTTACAAAATAACTAAATTTAGGAAAATACTACACTACCAATCCATGCTTGGGGGTGTGGGGGCTTAGGGTGGGCTGAGCATCCCCATAATTTTATTCAGAAAGACACTTTATATTTCAATTCATATACGAACATAAATGCTCAAACAAATCAAACTTAGATAAAAGTTCATAAACCTTTTTTCAAATTATTATTAATAAAAAAATGAATAAATTTAAATTAAGATATATTTAAAAATTTAATCTAATCATTTTTCAAGCAAAATCTATAGTGAGCCTTACTTTTTCAAAAAATAATTATTTACTATTTATTTTGGAGGGGAATTTAGATTTTTTAAGTAAATAAAGTCTTACATTTAAACATTAATTACTATTTTGAAAGAGAGTAGAAGCAAGATACATTGAGAATTTAGTTTTGAAAAGTGATTATGTTTAAATTTCAAGTAATATTTGTATTTGAAATGAAAAAAAACTTTAGTTAAATAACAATTAGGAGAAACATGACTTACGGTCAACATTAGTAATGTTAAATATTTGTTTTACAAATTTAACTATATTTTATTTAAATTAATTTTCAATAAAATAAGGCTCGCTATAGTTTTTTGCTTTAATAAAACTTAATCTAAAATTATTTACTTTTTTATGTTAGTTGCAAACCAAAAAAACAATGAAGTTTATTTTTTAAAGATTGAATAAAAATTTTTTTTTCATAGGATGGCTGAAAAATATTAAGTCAGTAAAACACACACACACACACACACACACACACATTCCCTTTAGGGTGATACTAAGTTTGTTTATTTATTTTGTAACTGATATGTCTCGGAAAAGGATATATTTGTTCAAAATAGCAAAGTGGTTTTGGACTACTGTAACCGAGTAGGACAAACTAGCAGGTAACCGTAATGGACTGGTCCTCATCGTAGTGGTAGGCAATAGGCGTCGTCCTGTACCTCCACATCAGTCTGTATTTATGGCTGACACCAGACAGTCATATTACTGTGAGGGGGAACCCAGGTGTATGCATATTCATTACATCAGTAATCTGACACACACATTCGAATATTTGACTAAATAAATATTAAAATTTTTGCTAAATAATTGTATTTAATATTCTTTTTTTAAATTTACTTTGTTGTTTTAATATTTGTTTTTTTAAAGTTATGCTTTTATTTACTCTAGATGTGAAAATAAATTCGAGAGAATAGAAATTTAAAAAATACATATATGTATAACATTTCAAAAATATTCACATAATCAAACAGTAAAAATGAAAGGTAATCCTAACCGGAATAAAAATTATTACCATTCATTTTTACTTTCTAATTTTGAGAACTTCAAATGCATTCTGATATATATATCTTTGCAAATACAAATCATACTATAATTTTTGTACAAAAATCTGGCTTGAGTGATAATGAGTCTGTATATATATTTGCTTTGTCATAAACTATTGTAGTTTGTTAGTTTTAGCTGAACAGACATACATACAAACAGACAACTGCCCCATATATAATTTGAGTGAAAACTTTGTAAAATTTTTCCCTTCTACTGAGAATAATTATCGTGGCACATGCCTGGTGTGTGTATAGATAAATGTGTCTAGTTAACATTTGCCTCTTACTGAAAAGGGAAAAAGTAACAATAAAAATGCGTGGTTTAGTATATATATTATTGTATATATACCATGTATACTAATGTAAAAGTTTGCTTTTTACATAACAGTTAAATACAAAATTTTAATTTCAAAGATGCCTTAATATGTTTTTTTTTTTTTTTTTTTCTACCTTTTCATCAGGTTTGGTAGAAATTGAAGAAGGAATGGTTACGGGCAAGACAATGCATTTAGAATCTCATACAATTGGCCGATTAACATTTGCCAGAGAACCAATCACAAAAAAGGTAAGTTTTTTTTTTCGTTTTTTTTTTTTTTTTTTTTTTTTACAGAATGACTAATAGCTATAAAACATTTAATATATATATTTATTTCTAAATTGATCTGTGATGCTTATTGTATAGAGCAGTGTTCCAAAAGTTTTGAACCAAGCATTCTTGACTGCACCGAAAGAATAATTTTTTTTTCACCCATTCTTTTTTCACTCAATTCCTCCAATTTCATAAAAATTTCTCCTGAAATCTAAAACATGAAAATATTGAGAACTATGAAGACATTCAAATTTTATGTTGTCACATTGATTGGCTGTGACTCTAGTTTCATATGCATTCAACATGAAATCATCAGGCAGTGGGAAAATAACATCTTCTACTATGGGCATTTATTCGCCCTTGGCAACAAGTGGTCAATATATATATATATATATATATATATATATATATATATATATGCATGTTTCATTAAATAATATAGACAAATTTTGTCTATTTATTTTAAGTAAGTCCCTATCATATTGTCTGATAAGCTTAATAACATTATCATTGAAAGACGAAAGGAAATCACCATATTGTTTAATTCAATCTAAGCTTTCGGCTTACATAAGCTATTATCAAGGATGACAATTACTTTTCAATAAATCAAACTATACACAGACGAAACAATAATGATAGTCTGTTTTTGTTGCATGAAAGATTTCAAAGCAACGACTAACTAGTGTATAAATTTTTTGAAATTTTTCATGAAACAAAAACAGACTATCATTATCAATATTCACTTGAAGATGAAATGGAACTAATGTTTTTAATTTAATTACAAAATTAAATTTGAAATTTTTAGCTTCCATTTTTGAAACATGGTTATTACTGTGTAGCGAAAAAAACATTTTAAACCAGTTAATTTAAAATATTTATGCTACGTAAATTTACATTGAGCACTGTTTTGTAAAAATAAAAATAAAAAATATCAATAAGAACATCAGATTATATATCTTACTGTTCTTTCTTTATATATATATATATATATATATATATATATTATTAAAGACATTTTTATGTTTAATGTTCTTTTTATAGATACAAGTATTTAAATGCTCTGTTTATATTGGAATATTAAATATTTTAAATGTCCGGAAAATTTTTAGAAAATATTCGCCTGAATGTCGAACATTTTACTGAAGCATAAAATTCAATCTTTGTCCATTTCTTAATATATGACGCCATTTGTTTACATTTGATACGCCAGAGCAGTTATGAATGTATCGGGATTCATGGAAGATTGAAGTTTATAAGGTAATTGACCTTGTCTACCCAACACCCTGGTTGGCTTATAAGGTACGTCAATTAAATGACGGTTCCTTAGTAGGATGCAGGTTCGAATCCTGTCAAAGGACGAATATTTTCTATGAAAATTTCTCGACATTCAGGCCAGTAAATGTTATTTAATACTGTTTATTATAAACAGAGCATTTACTTATATACTTGTATCTATAAAAAAGAACGTTAAACATAAAAAAAAAATGTCTTTAATAAATAAATTGTCGGATTTTTGTCCATTTCTTAATATATATATATATAATGGAAGTGACTTTATTTTAAGCATCTGATGATTGGTTCTATCAAAGCACAAGTGGATTACTTGCTCACTCACTGGGAAACTTTTAGTTACACATTTGCTTTCTAAGATTTAAAAGATGTAACCTTACAATATATATATATATATATATATATATATATATATATATATATATATATATATGGTTCGATGGACAAATTGTCATCTAAATTATGCAAAAATGAAAATGACACTGACATCTCATTTTATTATATTAAATATAAATTAAATTAATATATTTACCAAAATGACACAAAAATATCTTGAAATATTAACAAGTAAATTTATTCAATAAAATCACCATTGGCTTCAACCACGGCCTCCAGACAACTTTGGAATCTCCTTCAACTCTTCTGGTCGGTCTCCTTGTTTAAGTTGGTGAATGCTGCCATAATTCTTGCCTTCAGTTCATCTTTGTTGTTACAAGGATTTTTGTTGGTCTTTCACTCAACTGCACCCCACACATAATAATCAAAGGGGTTGCAGTCTAGGAAGTTAGGTGTCCAGATATAACGGGTGATATGGTTACAGAAATTGTCTGACACTCATGCCCAGATTTTCCTGCTTGTGGGGCATGGTGTTGAGTTCTGTTGCCAGACATAGTGTCTTCCAGCAGCCACCCTCTTGACCCAGGGCAGCACTACCTCCTTAAGGCACTTTATCTAGGCCTCTGTTAAGTCTGAGGCCCTGTGGGAAGATGAATGGAGACATAACATTGCCTTCACTCATGATCATTCCAAACATCTTTTTCTGAATCTTCTGCACTGTCCTTAGATTGATACCCAAATACTCAGAAAAGTTTGTCTTGAAGCTTCAGGCATGAATGCCAAGTAGTACGGCATGCTGTTTCCAAATTTCTGGCTGAGTGAATTGCATCATGGTGCTCTTTTTCTCACAAGCAGTGCTCAACTGACCCTACTATATTGTGCTATTGACAAAATCAAAAACAATGTGTATGTGCGAAATTAAAAATATAAAGTGTCAATAATTTACCCATCACACCCTCTAAATATAAATATATGTATATTTAGGCAGCATATCTTCATTCAAACATGTTTAGTTAAATTATCTAGACGTATTATGTCAGTTTATTTTTATTTTAATCCTCTCAAAATTACGGATCAGTTTCTTAGTGCTGTTACAAGATTAATTAAGAAAGATACCATAGTTTTGGTTATTTTTTTTATTTTCCCAAGCACTTTCAGTTTTATCAAAGATCATCATCAGAGGTGAATTGCTAAGACAAAAATTAATGTAAATGATAGTTGTGAATTTTTTTGTAAATGCAGATGAAACACACTTTGTTCTGGTCAATTTATGTTAAGAATATGTAAGGGAGGTAATTTAGTTTAAATTTATTATTATTAATGTCTTAAAAATACTCAATCTTCATGACTTTTTAAAAATTGAAAAAAAAAAATTTCTTTTACAATTTGAGCATCCCAAAACATTGCTTTCATAGACATTTTAAGACCTTGTTGCTATACTCATAATTAATTTTATTTAATGTTGGTTTCATTTTTTTTTCATATAGAACATTTTGAGAATTTTTAGTTTTTTATTTTCAAGGTGGAGTATACTTGTACTGTAAATTAATATTTCTCTAAAACATGAATTTGAACAAGAATGTTCTTTTAAATGTTGTGCAATAGAACTTGAATCTGACATGTGTAAAGTAAGATTTCTTGACAGTGTTGCCATTGTGGAACCAACATACCATAAAAACCCATGTAATTTACGTATGTTTTTTCGCAAAAATAAACTTTAGGGTGTTCGTAAATTACATGAGTAGCTCGTTGCCAGGGTTTTTTTTGGGTTTTTTTTTTAATATTTCTTGTTGAAAAAAGATGTACAAAATGTAAACATTCATACCAGAAGTTGACCCATTTAATGTCAGAATAAGTTTATACAAAAAAAAATAAGGCCTTAAATGTATTGAAGTTGACTTTTATTTATGTTGGATGGTATAATTTTTTTCTATATAAATGTACTAAAAGCACCAAATGCTTAACTACTTTTTGAAGTCTGGCGTTCGTGCTGGTAATCACGATCTGGGCTATATTTTACATTGCTTGAAGTTTCTGCTTATCACAATGGAGCACCATTGACATACAAAGTGATATGGATAATGTTCACCGGAAAAAAAATGTAATGATATGGATAATGTTGACTGGAAAAAAAAATGTAATGATATGGATAATGTTGACTGGAAAAAAAAATGTAATGATATGGATAATGTTGACTGGAAAAAAAATGTAATGATATGGATAATCTTGACTGTATGGTTTTATTATTGTCTGTTTTTTTGTTTTGTTGTGAGATCAGCAAAATTGTTGAGGATATTAAGGAAAAAGATGTAAATTATAAACATTTTCAATATTGTCAATCATGATCCTGACTTCTCCATGTAAACATAATCCGGATCATATTTTACACTGCTTGGAGCTTTCACCTATCATAATAGAGCACCATTGATATATATAGGGATATGGATATTCTTGACTGGATATATGTCATGATATGACTAATCTTTGACTGTATGGGTTTATTCTGGACTGTTTTTCTTAAAGAAATAAAAAGTTTAATCCTGGGAACATTTAATACAAGCAAAACTGATATTGTAAATAACATCATGTGAGATCAGTAAAATTAGTATTCACTGTTCACTTGTTGTTAAAGTCAGTCCTGTTTATCAAATACAAAGAACTCCTCCTCATCATCCAACATAAAAAAATACCTCTGCATCAAATTCATTAGAAAGACACGTGGCAGAGTGGATAAAGATTCGTTAGTTAGATCCAGTGACAGAACCCAAAAAAAAAAAAAATAATGTGAGTGCAAGTTCAATACCCAAATTAAAAAAGGCATGTGAAAAAATTGCTTGGAGAGGAGAATTAACATATAGATAACTGATAACTGACATCCATTAGACATAGCACGTGGGACTTTTCAAAATGGGCAGTCTTACACTACAGGCAACTTACCCCAGCAAGCAAAATTAAAATTGGTTCACTATTGTATTGAGCCCTATTTTTAAATTAATGTTGGGAGCATTTGCATTTATATTTGATTTGTTCTCATTTCATTTGTGTGTGTGTGTATATATATATATATAATATATATATATATATAATGAAATGGACAAAGTCCAACAATTATTTTAAGACATTTTTATGTTTAACATTCTTTTTATAGATACAAATATTTAAGTAAATGCTCTGTTTATAATAAACAGTATTAAACAACATTTACTGGCCTGAATATTTTCTGTGAAAATTTCTCAGACATTCAGGCCGGTAAATGTTGTTTAAAAAGTATGTTAAGCATAAAAATGTCTTATATATAAATAAATAAAAAATATATATTAAAATATATATAAATAATATTCACTTGTATG